CGCAGCTTATCTCATGTCTGGTACGAACACCGCGTGAGCAACAACATGTTCGGCGTCGTGTAACTTGTGAAGGAAAAGTAAGTGAACTATTCAGCACCATTATAACACGCACCAGGAGGCTTCGATGGCTGGGCCACGTGTTGCGCATGCCAGCACAGCGACTCTCGCGACTTGCGTTATTTGTGCGCAAGGGGAATGAGAGAGGGGAAGTCAACTGATAACCGGATCAAGAGGAATGAAGATCTTCACTTCGAATTTGGTATAAGTTAGTGCTTCCCGACTGCCTGGCTGGGGTCCGAAGAACGTTGAATTTGTGGGGTTGGATACACTAGTTGACATGGCAACGGACTGACCTCTTTCTTTGTTCTTCCTCCCTCCCCTATAGCTTCTCTCTTAAACCACTATCTCCCACCTGATGCGTACCGTGATATTTAGCAATAGATTACTTTTTAGTTGTTGCATGTGAAACACAGCCGGCTGAAACGTATGCTGGTATATCGTAGTAAAACTTGCGAAAAAAGCTTGATAAATACCCAGCAGTCGGTAAATAAATTTCACTTCCAGAACGTTTCATCATCAGTATCATCAACACACGATAGCCGTGAATGGAAACACATCACAGACAATATGCCGCACTACAAAAATGATACTAAATAATTGTAATAACAATATTTGCTCTTATTCTAAACGGTTGTGCTTTTCGTGTTGAACATTGCAAAACTGCATTAAGTTTACCTCCAAGCACCGTAGCCTTATTTAGCCGAGTTTAGGCAAGTATCGATTATTGCTAAGATATGTCATATTTGACTGAACCGTTGACATCATTTGCATACAGTTGAAACAGCACTGAGTGCAAAACTGTGTTGTATAACCCTGCTGGTAGCCGCCTTGGGTTAGCATTTAGCTGATTGTATTTGTTAGCGCCAAAAGTTGTACTGTCTATGCCAAGCCAGCAGAGTCCCCTATACCGTAGACCTTGAGCTGAACTAGAAGATGGCTATGATGTGCGCTATCGAGGAGTTTGTGGTTGTTGACTGTTGCGGATGATCTATCATCGTGGGAATTAATACGGTGCTTTAAAATTTCCCACTGGCAAGTAGTGTAAGACGTAGATTTCAGGAATCATGCAGTGAATTGTTTATTAAGTCTCGAGACAGTATGTATTCAACCGTCTTGAACACCCTGCTATCCTTATAAGAATGACATGTGAATACTCGGTTGATACTCTGTTTTGCTATAAGGAGTGAACCGGGTTTATGACTTGGCATTACTCTGACTTCATTCGGCTGAGCCAGAATTCATAGGCTGATGTCGTCACCACCGAATTCTATGCCACCAGATGGGTGATTGTCCTGACTGGCAAAATCAGAGTCTTTAGTAGACTTCATGAGCTATTCTATATCGCAGTTCGACTCGGATAGTGTTGCGTTACTCTTCCATGTACTGCTGCTGATTCACGATCGAAGCTCCATTATTTTTCTTGTAGGGGACACAGAAATAGCTACTGCACACCACTCACTTTGCAGTTATCTGTTACTGGAATAAGATGACACGTTGATCTGTTCGTCGGTTTTTCGCCTCACTGATATCACTATTTCGAGTTTTCTGTTTTGAATACCGAGCGCTCACTTTTCGTTGTCAACTTACGTAGGCCAATAAGTCCTATCTATATCTGTAACTAACTGGTGTTGCGTGAAGATAGAGAAGTCCTTTGATATCCGAGACACATTGAGTAGTTTTTTGAGCTTTCCAGCGCGTTTTTGTCGCATAGGTTCTTTGCCGTTAATGATTTGTCTTTTTCATGACAGAAATCCATGTATCTATAGGGCGGTAGATGTTATATATCTTTCGGCGTAATCTATAGAGCGAAATAATGGAGCGAAAGGTGTCCCATTGCGCGGATCTACTCTAGGTGGCAGACAGGCCCAGTTAGTAGGTCTGTGAGACCTGTTTTTTGTCAAATATGTTTTTCATATTTGAGCGGGCCCGTTTCCTTAAGGATCGCAAGTCTGCCCTCTAGCTCTGAGGTCGCAGATTCGAGCTTGCGCAGGGGGCCGGGCAACCTTCGCTGTATCCTTAGCCCACGCGCGGCTGGTGGTAGTTGCATGGCAACGAAGCGTCGGTACTGTGTACTGGGGTACTGCTGATACCCTTTTTATTTAACACTGTGCTCGCTACCGGACTAGTGCTCTTGAACTTAAGCGGAAGTTGTTGGTAGGCTGATTGTTAAGACTAAACCCAAAATATGACTTCTTAGTGAGAGACATGACATGTTGACTCCATCCACATTCGTATATAAGGAAAACGAAGCTTTTGAATTTAGTATGGACAGAATTTAAGGATCATGACGGGTCAGGTGTGTTAAATGCTTCCCCATTTATCTTGCAGGTTGGAATGCAATATGGTATAACACACGCTGTAAAGCGCTTATCTTAATAAAGTTAGGATTAAGTGGTATATGGATATACCCAGTAATAGTATAATTATCCACTATAACATTTAGAAAATTGGGCTCTTTATAGCTCCCTGTGTGCCAATAGACGGTATATATATATATATATATATATATATATATATATATATATATATATTCAACACTTTAGCAATTACAATACAATTGGCTGAGTACCACAACGCATAAGAGAAAAAAAGTAGATTGAAAGGGAAAACAAGTGTTAGGGTAGAAGAGTCTCACAACAAGTACGCCATTGCGTACGGTCCTTGGCCATATCCTCTAGCGTTTGCAACCAGATGTGCTCGGGGTCCTTTGGTCCCCAACCCGGGAGTCGGGAACGCCCATCAACCGTCAGCTTCAACGTTTGCGCTTTAACGCACTGGATCCAAGTTTTCCATTGCCCTACTTTTCGTCGTTTGCACCCCACGCCTGTCAATGGCGCAGCCACCACCTAATCACGAATTGTGACAGCCCATGACGACATCCTAGTCTGAGACGTGGTGGACTAATTCAAAAGTATCCCCCATTAGCCATGTTTCCGTAGCCAATATAAATAGTGAGTTCTAGAAGGAGACAAGTGATTGTGGGGTAATGATGTTATTTCTAAGGGAGCATGCATTTATGAGCAGAACATGACTAAACTGTGGTTTGCCGGGCAGCTCTAGCACCTGCATAAACGATGCTGCAGGCGTTTCAGCTACATCAGTGCGCAGATGTTTGGTGGTTGTTTCGGGCAGCGTTTCCCAGTTGTTCCTGTTGTTATTATTTATTTGACCATTTTAGTGAATATTGAAAGGCGGTAAGCGGAATTATCTAGGCATTTTTTCCTACTTTCAATCGTTTTTGGGAAATAAATAGCGTTTCGGATTTGAGGCAGTTTTTTACAAGTAGCATAAACTGCATCAGGTATTCGTGAAGTTGAAGACTCTACGCAGGCAGGGGTCGTAACAGTGGACGAATTCTCATTGAGTGACAGCATCGTGTTTCCAACGGTCCGTTGCTCGCCCGGGGATGTGCCTTAACATTTGCAACCTGTCATTGACCTGGTCTTGTTCTCATGCTGCGTTTTCTGTTTGGGTCCTACATGCGGGGTGCTCGATCCAGTGAAACCGTTATCATCGGTATTATACTCATTGAGCTTGATTGGTCGTTGTGCTGGAGGTAGGCAAAGCTAGTTGTTGTTGCCACCCCGAGATATTCGCAGCTTGCTGCTCTGTCGATTGTGTTGGCTTCCCGTATCCATAGCTGAGATGTCGGATGGCATATTATCTTTGCTTTAGGTGTTTGCGGTGGAGACTCTAGAAAATCTATTTACGTAAGTACCCAATCAAGTTTAGTGGAAATGTCTTTAGGCTGATTAAGTTGAGTCTATGTCAATCTCCCATTGTATGAAACTATGTTCCCATTCTTCACCAAAATATTCGACAATAATTAGGCAACACTGCTCTGGTTTTTTCTTACTAAGTACTAAGCATTTGTGTTCGACCTCAGATCTATTACGAGCGCTCAATAGTGTTATTTTGTTAATTTACCGTATTGAAATTTATCAGCACTATCCAAAGCGATGGCGTTTTTTAATCTACCCATTTGCTCCTTAGCCTCCGACGCGATGTAGACGATAACTTGTCCTACTCTTTTTATCTGGACCCGACAGAACATCTCTGGTGCGTTGCTAATGCAACCCAATGAAATTAATTGGTCCTTGAGAGCTTCAGTGTAGGCCAGTGTTTGTTTCGATTCCATATACCTGGTCAGCCTTACATAGCACCCCGCTCGTTGTATACTATGACAGTTCAAAGGATGCTATCAACCAGAGTGACACACTTGTGGGACGACAGCGTTGTGTGTGTGTCCGTTGGGAAGGTTTGGGTTTCTTTTAGCTCACTTGCGACCTAGTCACCAGCTTTCTCTGGTCCATTTACCATTTTCGCACTAATTTTATGTCGAAAACCCTTCAAACCACTGTCCAGATTTTATCATATCATTAAATCATATCATATCATTAAATTAGTATAGTTTTGTTGCATAGGACTTGGAACAATACTTGACCAAAAATGCTGCAGTTGCTCACTACCAAGTAGTCCACGAATTTGCGAATTCCGTCGATATCAACAAGGCAGCTTCTTTCTGCCACAGTCAACTCGACCGATCTACACTTTAGTCGGAAGGATCATGAGCATAGCGCCGACGACCGCATCGTCTCTGATAACCATAAAGTTTTACCTCTCATCCTGTAAATCAATATCATAAGTGCTTTATAATCTCCCCTTTTCGTTAGGTCACTGTTAAGCCGATCTAGTTTTTTGGCCGCTGCTTCTTCCTCTAACCCTGTAGACACTACTCGGTCCTTCCTGCTTTGTCTTCAATCTGGGCTCACCAAATGGGCGGACCGCTTTTTGTTTGTCGGTGCTTAGGTACACTGCTTTTATCTAAGGCGTTTCGGCACGATATATCATCTCCATCTCCCTGGCACCTGTTTGTAACCTTATTCCATGGCTACTACATCCATGTCCGTGGAACCTCTATGTTTTCATTACACTTTTAGAGGGAACAACGCGACTCAGACACTGTCAACATTGTCTCAGCCGATTGCTACCCTCCCCCATTCCCTTCACTACCTTCTGCCGGTACACGCGAGAGGGCCTCATTCTCCTCCGAATTCTCTGCTCCATCTAGTTCATCAGCTCACCGGCGTTACGAAGTTCCATCTACGAACAGCGCTCTACCTTTGAAGGTCGAATCAGATGCTTGCCTTAAACCAGTTCCGGGTTTGGTAGGTGTGCTTTATTATCATTTTGTTGAACCATTAGATTGCACACCTCTTCCTTGCTAACGTCAAAATGGGCTCTAGTCGTCGTTAAACGTTGTGTTTATGCAAGCAGGATTCCCGGTTCAGTAAACTTATCTCGTTGTGCGAATTAACAAGACTCGGTCACATCCTTGTCATATGAACATTTGCAATGCCGTGCTGTGTGCTCACCTAAGACTTCGTAGGAAGAGACCACGTGGTAGTCAACGTAACACTTGGCGACAAAACTTTAACTCGCGCTTACTCTCCATCTATGCTTGATTATATATCCGAATACTGGAAATGCCGTTGGCTTGGAACATTGGGAGATATGGCGCGGGACCAAATCGATAAACAAGCTGTGTACTTCTCATCGGACTCCTGCTTCCAGCTCTACAACTCCTTCCAAAAGTGACTAAATGGTGGAGAATGAGTCGTTATCCCCAGATCTTGATAATATTTGTAGTTCTTAGGTAGACTGAAATGCTCCCCGTTTGTCACGATATATTTGAACTACGCAGCGCTGCTGTTGGTAGATGCTGCTTATATGATCGAACAGCGTGTATGTAAAAGCTTTTGAGTATGCCGTTCTCTACATGCTCCCCCTGCACCTAGGCACATGCAGCTAAAGTGATCCCCCTTTTGATCACCTGTGATAATCTGCCTCTCGCTGGGTACCACATTAGGCATTATTCGCAAACAGCTTGGATGGCGTCTTCTAAAACCAACCGATATCCGTGTCCTCTTGGTAACAGGGATTACATGTAGATCAGTGGATTTCAACTCCCGTCACCGCTCACGTTCATATTTTACATTACCCTTGAAGCGGGTGTTCGTCCAGTCGGAGATGCTCCGCGCTAGTGATAATGATCAGTTAACGGACACACTGTATTAACTACTCTATTCCGTTAAGGAATTATCTGGCCAGTTGTCACGCACGTCTGTGCGATCACATTTCACTGATCCTCGAGCATATTTCAATTTTAAACCCCCGCTCCTTACGGTTGGTCTGTTAAGTGCACGTGCAAGTGTGCTTACACTATGTCGATCATTTGAATGAAGCAGTTGGGACTCGGTGATGGTCACGGCATCGGTAGAGACTGTGTAAGGAGTGACACCCACACAGACAGCGTTGTGGCTTTCCTTGCCCCTCACACTCCTATAGATTTGTATTAGCACCACATAGCGTCCAATCCAGATTTAATGCTTTCCCATCTCCATTTTTTACCACTCCGTTCCGTTTATCCGTTGGCTGCCCTTTCAGGATGATCAGTTCAAGTTTGCTTCGCCGATGCAACACTCCACTACTTCCTCCGCTCCCAGCTCCCGGACGACGGGCACCGGACGAAGTGTGATTCATCCAGAAACTCTGCAACATAAATCTCTTTCTGACGCCTGCAGACAAGATACAGACTTTGCTCGACGTAGCATGCAGTCCAATATTAAATCCTCTTCTCCAACAGTATTCAGAAGTAAGGGTGAGTTCGTTAGAGCATATTTTGACATGAGTCATTTTGACGCACCACACACACTATACACGTTAGCTAAAGGTGGGAAACACCTCAACTACTGTGCCGCAATACCTAAAAGAAAAAGAGGAAATAAAATGCAACAGGTGCAAGCCAGTTGAGCTACCGGTAACGGATGGGCATCGTTCCGTAAAGCTACCTGCCTGCTACTATGCAGCAGAAAAAAGTAATTTACTATACAAAATTTTAAAATATTAAATAATGAGATCGTGGTTGGAGGAGGAGGCTAAGAGGGATGGGGTGAAGCAAAGAAACTCACAGCACGAACCCGCTGAGGTCGGCTCCTAGCCATATCAACAGGTGTATCTAGCCAAACGTGTTCATCGTCTTCCGGACTCCAATCAGGGAGCCGAGACGCTCCAACTGAAGCCAGCTTCGAAGTGAGGGCCTTCATTCCTCTCGACCAAGTCATCACTTGGCCACTTCTCTTCTTCCATCCACACCCCCGGCGCGTAAACAACGCACGTCGCGGGAGTCGGTGGGCTGGCATGGCGCAACACGTGGCCTAGCCATAGGAGCCTGGTGCGTGAAATAACGGTGCTGAGCGGTTCATTTCCTTTTCCTGTGCTGTAAACAAGGCGTCGAGCACGCTCGTTGCTCACTCTGTGTTCCCACCAGATGTGAGCTAAATTGCGAAGGCATCGGTAGTCGGACATAACCAGCCACTTTATGTCCGCTGATCTAAGGGGCCAGGTTTCACAACCGTACAGTAGAGTCGAACGTACCGTTGCATTGTAGACTCTACCCTTCAGGGCGAGAGTGATGTCGCGCCGCCGCCATAGGTGGCGAAGGTTAGCAAAAGCGCCTCGAGCTTTTGCTATACGGTTCGTGATCTCGTCTTCGATCCCAAGGGCGCTGATGCAACTTCCCAGCTATTTGAATTTTTGAACAACTTCTAGCTGATCCTCACTAAGGGTCAGCGCAAGAGGCGGTCCAAGCCAATCTTGGAGGAACGCTTTGCACTTCGATGGTGCAAAGTAAAGCCAGAAGCGGCTGACGGCCAGTACTAATCTGTCCAGTACCGCTTGGCACATCTAGGAGCTGTCACAGATGAGGGCAATATTGTCAGCATACTCCAACTCAAGAAGTCGTTCCCCTGGGAGCAGATCCAGACCTTCTAAGCCGTGTCCTCTGAACGCGGTTTCCATAACTTTGTCAATAGCGAAGTTGAAGAGGAAAGGTGACAGTGGACATCCTTGTTTCACACCGCTGGAGATACTGAAAGGCGGCGACAGCTTGCCGTAAGCTCTCACTCTGCCCGTGCTACGCACGTATAATTCTGGAATAATATTTACATATTTCTCAGGTACACGTTTCCTGAGTACACAGTGCCGAAGTGCAGGTCTATCCACCGAATCGAATGCACCTTTGATATCGAAGAACACGACTACGGTGGGCCGCTAATATATGTGACGATGCTCCAACAACTGAGGCAATTTGAAGATGTGGTCGATGCAGCCACGACCTCGACGAAACCCGGCTTGCTCTTCACGAATCTGGCTTTCACGAGTGCCAGTCAGTCTGTGAAGGATGACAGAGGCAAGCAATTTAGAGGCGATGGAGATCAGAATGATTCCTCTATGGTTGCCGCATTCCGATCGTGAGCCTCCTTTGAAGATGGGAACAATAACGGAGCGGCTCAAGTCGGTTGGGACAGTTTCCTGCTCCCACAATTTCACTCTTATAAATCATTCACCAGAGTAGGTCCCCTAAATTTGAAGAGGGCCGGAGGAAGATCATCTGGTCCCGCGGCTTTATGTAACTTCAACAGTGTGATCTCACGTTCGACTTCATAGCGAGAGGGTGGATCCAAAGGGATAGCCCAGGGAGCGGGGCGGTTAGTGGCCGGCAAGAAATCTATCAATTCCGACTCATTAAACTGCCTTTCAAAGTGCTCAGCCCAACGGTTCAAGCGTTTTGACAAGTTGTGAATAGGCTGTCCACCCTCGTCACGTGTAGTTTCACTAACACAAGGTCTTCTGCTGCCCGTTTCCCGTGTCAGACGGAATAACTTTCGATGGTTACCAAGGGCTGCGGCCATTTCCATCTCTGATGTACGATGAGACCACCAGGATTCGCGGTGTCTTCAGGCTAGCACGGAGTTTTGCCCGGAGCTCTTTGAGAGTTTCATTGTGTTCGCTTCCAGCCGGAATATGCCGGCGAACATCGATAAGTTCCAGAGACTGCTAAGAGACCCAATGTCCATGTTGGCTATCAGACTTACCACATGAGGATTTGTCTGCTTCTAGTAAGGACTGCTGAATATGAGACCCGTGAGCTTCAACTACATCCGGTGAGCGCTTACTCAACTCGCATATCAGCGTACTTTGATAGGCGTTCAGAACAGCTGGTTTCGCCAGTTGGTTAGTGTCTGCGCTCACAGCGTCGTCTTGGGCGTCCGCCAAAACGCATCCGCAGGTCAGCACACACAAGTGCATGGTCGGTGTCCACACCTGTGCTCCAAATCGATCGACAGTTCTGGATGCAGCCTCTCCAGCGGTAAATGATTGCAATGTGATCGATTTGCGTCCAAGGCTGGTGAGCGCCAAGTCACCCTCCGGCGGGTGCTGTGTCGGAAATTAGTGCTCGCAAGAAATAAGCGAGTATCTTCACACAAATGAAGTAACCGGTCACCGTTATCATTACGGGAGCCTCACACCGTGCTGACCACCCAGATGCATTTCATCGGTGGACAACTCTCCAACTTGAGCGTTCAGATCCCTAGCCAACACAACAATGTACGAGCTTCTTCTGTGGCGAAGGCGCTGGGTCAGTTGGCGGTAGTCTTCTTTTACAGAATCATCTCTAGAGTTTGTGGGCGCGTTGGCAGCGATGACGAATAGACGTCTGTTAGTCCCGCGCGACTTCGAAGCTTTGAACGAGCCAGCCAATCGGACTGCACACATCCGGCTAGTGATTGGAATCTAGTCAATGAGAGCAGCTTCAGCCCGGGGACTCTGGGTAATACCAACAACGGCTTGGCCGATGCTCGAAGCTGTATCGTCACCGGATAGGCTCAATGAGGAAGTGCTGTTGGTGTCACCTGAAGGGGATCGCAGAGTGAGTACAGAGCTTCGAGTCTTGCAGGCGGATCTCCGATAAACAGCAAATATCGATCGAGAGGGTCTCTAAAGTTCGGCAAGTTCTGTCTGTTGACCGATTTGTAGCATTGTGCGTACATTGAGGCATGCCAATCTGAACGATGATTGAGGACTCCAAATGGAAGTCGAGGAACTGGACTTTGCCGTTTGCTTGGACATGGACTTGTCGACAGTACAGGAATAACGCTCCACCTTTGCATATGAGTCGAAACTAGAAGGTAAAAGTCTAGCAAATCAAGGTGGGGGAGGGCCAAGAATTGGCGGTTGAAAACAGGGGGATATAAGTGAAGCTGGAATGGGACGGTAAAAGAAAAATACCTAAGAGGGGGAATAAGAAGATGGGAAGGCTTGGGCATTGCATCCAAACCCCTATCCACCCTGCTCGATGCAACAGATAGGGCACCGTTGATTATCCTCTGCGGTGGCCAGAGCATCAAGAAATTGTTTGAAGTAAGATTCATAGTATTGCGTGGGCAGGATACTGTCAGGTTGCCCAGGCCTCGACAAGAGAACGATTAGGGTTCTCAACCAAAGCCTTTGGTTCAAAAACCTGACCGCAAGGCAGCGGGTTTGGCGTTGGGCTACAAGGAGTCTGTTTTAAGAAATAAGGAGCCACCTCATTCCAACCCCCAACCTGGAGGACCAGGAGGCTAAGTTTGTCTGGCCTCTAACCATTGACCAATCTGGTATGAGTGGCTCTGAAGGTGCAAAAAAAGCACCACCCAGCATAGCTGAATGGATCCCTAAAGCACACAAACCATCGCATCACGGTAAGGTCCAGTCTCATTGCGATGGATTCTGACACACCGGTCATCTACTCATTGGGATCGGTGCTACTCATGTTATCTTGGGCTTCACCCTGATCACATAGTTTGCTAGTGAACCGGCGACTTTTATCATTCCATTCACCCCGGACTTCTTAGTGGTTCATCACGTTGCACACTGATGATGCGCTGTTCACGAAACTGTAGTTTATCTTTGCAATACTTTCATGAGCGCTCTCCCGTAATTCTACAACTTCAATGTCTTAGGCTTTCCGGCTCATTCACTTCTTGTCGTCAGATCCAGACGTTTTGTTTGTCCTAATCTTTTACTTTTGCTTGATAGCAAAGTAACAGTCGCATTCGACCCATAGTAGATCTGACAGTAGGCTATTCTACGTGGTTGAATAGGAGGAGGCATCAGCAGTACGCCGGTACACAGTACTGACGCCTCGCTGTCACACGATCACTACCGGTCGCACGTGGGCCAAGATACTGCGAGGGTCGCCAGGTCCCTGCGCAGGCTCGAACCCGCGCACTTACAAACTAGGCGTACGAGTCACATGTCTACCATCTTGATTACTGAAACCTCATCCTGTATAGGGCCACTTTTTGTGTCCCTATCTCCCATACTGTTTAACATGGAGTCCCTATCACTAGACATTTCAAGTAGTAGCTTGACGCTTGCGGTGCGTCAACTTGAACCCCGGCACAGTTATTGAGCTGCGCCTCCTTTCGAAACGCAGTTTTCAAATCCTTCGTATTTTACTCTTCATCATCATAAATATATTAACCGGTCGTCTACCACGCCTTCTGAAATCATTGCTCTTCACTTCGCGTAGCCTGATCGCTCATACGTCTAAGCTCACTTCTCTGCTTTCATTCCATTTCGATCTTATCCGCTAGACTCTTTCGATAACTGGAGTCCGCGTTCAACTTCACCGACTGATAAACTACACTTGCCACTTCGGCCCAAAACATCTGCAAGCTTTCGTCTTCCAGGCGTTGGTGACGTATGTCCAGTGGATTCAAGCTCACTTTCCCAAGACTCCGCTACCGACTCAAGCGATGGGGACTTACCTAATGTGGCTGATGTAACCCACGCAAGGTTGATTGATGGTGGTCAGCCTCGATCGCATAAGCGCCGGTTTTACTCAAGGAAACACAATTTTTCCATCAAAGATGGTCAATCACATATCCGTAAGTTACCCGTGCTCTTCCTTTGCACCTTCCCTCGACCTTCTCCTGTGCTCCCTCACGTACATTCCTTGTTTTCTTCTTTCATTTAAACAACCACGAACGCATTACTCGATCAGAATTTCCCCTAACAAAACGGTCAGTCGACTGTTCCTCCGAAGAGGCTTCTGTTGAGGACCACAAACCTCCCCCTCCCTCGGTCTACCTTGCCATCAACAAGAACACCCACGATTCGAACGCACGTTCAATTACTTCCGTTATTGATCCCATATATCGCCATGGAGAGTACAAACATCCATTCCCCGTGACCTTAAACAAATCTCCCGACCGAATTCAGCGTCCTCAGAGAACGACGGAACGTCGAGCCAGTACCGGCACGTTGGATGAACATGTTGAACAATTTCTGGAAATGGTTTGTGCCACATTATGAAACTCCATCTTCACTGTCACATCTCCACTGTAAGAGTTGATTTAACGCCAAACTGCGATGTGTTTGCCGACTGACATTGTTTGGGGTCCACTCCGAGTATCGACTGTTGATGGAGTTGCCTCTTTCTATGTTGATGATTCAGGAAGCTAGTAGTAACCGTCGGATCAAAATTCTGTACGGTCCATCCACGGCTTTCGTGAATTGTTATTATGGCATGTTGATTAATTCTTCGAGCCGCGCAGTTTTGTTACAGACGTTTCACCACCGATCGAGCTGGCCTCTACAGTGCCTAGTATTAGCAAATACTGGGCCTCCAACAAATCCAGAGGTGTATGTCGTCAGCTATTGGACTGTCCTTTGTATGCATTTCTGGCACTTGTAAGCATGCTTCACTCTGGTTATCTGATCAGGTATTTAAGGATGCCTGATAGACTTTTATCGACTTTTGTGAAACTAGTTTCGAGGTAGGATTGTTCCGTGCGATAAAATGCAGTTGCAGTGGATGTTCTGTGCATTTTTCATATCTTTTTGGTTCAAGTTACGGTTACCAATAAGTCTACTTGCTTTTCTCATCAATGGCTGGTGTACCGGATCGAGATCTATGTGATGCTTTATAGATTTTTCTATGAAGAACAACGTTTCATGAAACTCTTCTCGTTTTACCATTTGTCAGAATCTGTTTTCTCTAACAACTTCGCGTCTTTCATCGGCCTGCGCCGAGATTAAAGAGGAGGCGTAGTGGTTTTTGTAGGTTTGTTCGCCTAGACATCTTTCTTCCTCTTTAACCGACATAATTCCTTTCACGGCACTCTTTGCAACATTTTGTCGTTCGTGTGCCTCCGTTTTCCTTTTCGGTTCGGACGTAGCCTTCTTCAGAGTGATCGTCGCTCTGCCGGTCACTATCATGCGATGTGGTTTAAGGTGTCTGGCGGACAGCTCTGAGACATTTTCCACATACGGCAACAGGATACTTTCTGTCTTCCTCTGTGTAGCAGTTGTGTTAGTAAATCGATTTGCCGGAAATGTACGACGTAGACCAAATCCTAAATTTTAAGATTAACTATCCAAAATGTCACGAAATGCATGCCCTGACTCTGTTTCGTAGGATATAATTACATTTCAATACTGAGGAAGGGAAACGAGAAGGTAAACTTTTTTCATTTTTTCAATATCGTTATTTAATAAATGTCACGTGTTTCTCCTTTCCGAACACTGTACTTTGGCACCAGGTTCATGCTTATTTACACCCTACCAGCATGCTCCTTTACCACCATAAGTCCCTAGCAGTGCTGGAAGCAGGCAACACGTACCATTTATCCGCGTCAATTTCCATTACAACGACCTAACTAATCGACATCATCTTCAAATCAAATCAGGGTTCAAATTCAGTTTACTTGTCGCCGTTCACTCACTAAAACTAGCTTCTGGCATGACCAGCAATAGCTCCCAAATCCACATGACTGGCGTTTGCGATAGTAAAAGCCTCGACTTATAATCCCTACGTCCCAGTTATGCTGTGTCCACCTCAAGGAAAGTGCAAGCCTGCGAGCGAGTAATGCCTCGCATTTATCTGCTCCATGTACTGCTCCAGTGACTGAACTGATCGGGGTTTCACTTCTCAGTACTCCTACCGGCGACACTCACCGTTAATTTCCAGCAATTGGTTCATTGATAATCATGCCTCATCTCTGGTAATAACTAGTGTTACCGTCGCGTGCGGCCGTCTCCTTATGGCACGGAAATCTGCAGGCACTTAGAGTTCAAGGACCATTGGTCGCTAACGAACGCTGCTCACGTACTTTATGTGTATCTTGGCTACTGACCAATCAAACACCCTGTGCTCTCATTTTCCCCGATTGTACATCCTTGCTTAAGTGTTCCAAAAACGATATCTGCAGATACATGAATATGCAGCTTCATCACACCGGTAATCAAGATCCATTCTACCCGTTAGAGTCTCAGTACAGCTCAATGGTAACCATCTATCCCTGATTTCCTGCATTCGGGAATATCACGAGACGCTAGCTCGTCTGATTCACCTTTAAGACAGTCGATATTTCTTTGTATACTTGCTTATGTCTACCTCCATTCTTTGTTATGTCCTTGTTAGTCATCTGACTCTGTACCTTCGCCTTCTGTTGCCTTTTTGCTCGTTTTCTCCTCTGTGAATTCTGCGCCGTCTACCTGTCCTTAACTCGTATCTCATTGGTGTCTCCGCAGCTGTCCAAATCGTACGGATTACGCGCTTCCAAGGTAGGCAAAGTGCGAGCAAGCTTGAATCAAGTGCTGAAGATGATCCCCGATGCTGTTCCCTCCGCCGACGAATCATCACCGGCACTTCAGAAACGTGATTCTCACCTGTCTTTTATTGAAATGGTGAGTTGGAGTTTGGGTCATCTCGCTGACGCTATGCTGCCGTTGCTCTTGTAGCTATTTTGCCTGGTTCAGGAGTCTAAAGCAGCCATTCTCAAAGCGAGCCATATGTCTATAGAGAATTTCCGCGGGGGCCATGGGATAAGAAACTTTTTCCGGGGGTTGTGATAACAAAAATAACAAAATTCATTTGAAAGCATTTTCTGATAGTTTCTCTCCACGCATTAATCTCCCTGGTCACTACCGATCAGTGAATGAATTACCCGTGTACAAGAAGGTGCGAAAGCCAGACCGGACAGCAGAGCTCCGCGAAACTTCCGCATATTTCGCCGACCTAACCTCAGACATACAATCAGCATACGGCGACTTAGACTGTGCACGAAACCACCCATCCGTCCCCAGAAATTTGATGCCTAGGCATGGTGAGCCAACCTAACTCTCATCAGCACATTGCAGCAGTTACCACACAAAGCCACATTGAGACTGAGTTTTTCTCAGGAAACTGGGTGACAACACATGTGCCGCTCAGTCTCTCATTCTCATTGGATCTCAGTGCGCTGGGGCTTGGTTACGCGTTTTTCGTCCGCAGTGTCATCTCGCGTGCACGTCCTGTAGCTAGGTCACAATAGCCCGCAACGTTCCGAATTCCAGTGGCTACTCTGCGCGTGTGGGGTGCTAACTTTGAAGTATGTTTGTCCCTTCTGACTAAGAATCGAAACAATTAGGACAGGTTACAACACTTTCTTAACATTCAGTTCAGCTGAAGTCCTAAAAATGGAGATCAGTTTTACCAACTTACATCATGCGCGTGGACATCTGGTTTCTGTGGTGAATACATATAACACAATGTGTACATATGGACACTTATCACGATACTCATAATCATAAAATGCCTTGCCAACACACAATGGACGCCATGTTTAGCAATAGATGATGTACGTTATTAGCTCTGTTTTTGACCCTCCCATGCTGGTTTCTGGAACTATCCGGCATTTTTTTCATTGTCTCTTCCTCCTTCATTTGACCTGTTGTAACTGGTTGGTATAACTTTCCTACAGTGAATATGTGTCCACAGAGCATTGTCATTTTCTAAGTTCTATTTGCTTTTCTTCTCTGGCTTTTCTTAGGAACTTTTCAGTCATATTGGCTATCCACGGCATTTTCAAAATCATCCTCAGAAACCACTTTTGTGTTGCTTCTAACAGTCTTTCTACACTTTTGGAGAAAATTCTATCTCGCCTTCAATATCAGTAATACTGTCTGACCAGATGAGCATGAATCCTAAAGAAATAAATCAAGACATTCTGCTCATCAAATCAACTGTGTCCAGGCAAATAGATGAGATATCTCACAACCTGAAAATACCTTAGTTACTGTACTACGGCCCAGAACATTTTCGTTACACCTAGATGAATCAACTTTACCTGATAACAACGTTCTTCTCGTCGCATATGTCAGATTATTCAATGATGATGAATTAGTGGAAGTGATGCTGTTTGCTAGGAGAATTAAAACTCGTTGTATCCAATGGCTGTCTGACTGAAAACTTCCTCACAATGCAGAACATAGTTGCAGAAGCAACAGGTGCAGCCGCAATGGTCGGAAAACATAAAAGGATTCATTGCCCATCTGTTGTTCATACGATTCATGTGATTTATCAAGAGCATCTAGTTTCTAAGAGCTTGGAAGGCAGCTTAAACGTTTCACTGTCAACTGTTATAATAGTAGTAGTAAACAATATCAAATCGGACCCTTTTCGAGATAGTCTCTTCCAGCAGTTTGTGAGGAAAACTGCAGGTTTCCAGCTTCTTCTCTTACATACCGTGGTTATATGTCTCTAAGGGAAACTGTCTTCGCCGTTTTGTTTCGCTCTGGACACCATCGTCACATTTTTTCTGGAACTCCTTATGAAAGAAAACTGCTAACAGCTAGGTTAGACGTGTTTTATGTGACTGGTCTTTATGAAAAACTCAACTTATTAACTAAAACACTTTGAGGCAAGTTGAGTAATCTCCTCTCAAACAAGTAAGTCATTATCGCCTTGCTTAAAAATCTGGGATCGTATGCTCCATACCATCGGACGTCGGGAATTTTCACAACTCCCAATTCTCGCTACAGTAACGGAGGACTTAAAGTCAAGTCAAATTAAGCTTCATCCACCCATATGGGTGTATTTGTAGCATTTTCACACTATCACTGTGGTATATAATACAGCAACGCATCAATGAGAAACAGCAATTGGTAGCAGTCAACGAAAGTTTGCATCTTTACGTCGTCACGAAAGCGGCGTTTCACTCCTGTTGGGTCGATTAGTAAGCGTGATAGAAAAGGCAGTATGGAGTTACGATACGAGAATATAAAACTTTAACTTTTGTCCGTGTGGACGAAGTTGATATAGTGCTGGGTCGGATCTCGTGTAAAAGCTGTAAGGAGTCATTTAAAATCTTAGATGGTAGGGTAATGCATGCATCGAAGTGTTTGTTAACAATGAAGTCTATGAGCGTTTCTTTCCCTTAACCGGAACAACGAGAAATGCATTTTAGCCAACGGACAAGAAGGACATAATCGTTTTGTAGCAGTCCTGGGACAATAACCGGGGATCAGTATAACCAGTGAGGGAGAATACATGCAGTCACAAACCGTAGAATTAAACTAGGGGAGCGGAAAGCATTTTAAATCTGAGGGAGTAAAAAGATAGCCTTCTAACATTTTAACTGTTTCAAGAACATGTTTAGACCAAGATAAATTGTGAGATAGAAAAACCACATATTTTTTCAATGGATATGGGAGGCATGCTTGGGTCTTCCACAATCAATCTGTACAAGGGACTGCAGTCTGTTGAAATGTAGAACACGTTACGTCACAACACCTGGAAGTGTAGAGAGACTGGGACCGGGAGCTTAACCAAGTCACTAGTTCGTCTAATCCTCCTTGGAGTTCCAAAGAGTCCTCAATAATTGGGATTCTGCAACTCAGGACGACGTCATCAGCATATTTACAGCCTATGAACTTTGATGGCATAGGGAGACTTTCAAGGTATGCGGAGAATAGGAAGCGGGATAGGATGGCTTCCTGCAAAACACCACAATTGGCTTGGTATGCAGAAAACTTTCTGCCACATAGCTGCTTGAAGTGAGTGCGATTTGTGAAGTAATCACATATTGGGGACACCATTTTTTGGATTAACTGCTGAGCAGTAATGATCTGTCAAGGCTCCAAAAGCGTTAATGTAATCGAGAAATAAGAGTCTTACCGTCTTGTATCCAACGCGAACGCAATGGAATGCACTAGAAAAGAAGCAGCATTCAGTGTAGAGCGCTCTAGTTTATAAACGAACTTTGACATCATCAGTATGATTATCTGTGAAAATGCGGGGATCAGTAGTTTTTCCAGTACATTTAGTAGCACGGACGTGCACGCTTTTGGCCGACATTTCTGATATCCTTTTTAGGCACTAGTGTCCTTCTGTCTGATTTCCAAGGATGAAGATTTAGTTGTTTGTCAGTCATTTACAACAACTCCGAAAAGAAATGAAAGATGGGTTTCATGATCAGATTGACATGGAACTCGTGATTTGGATTTTAGATCCATTTGATGTACAACCCCGTAATGTTGGTGTTAAAATTCAGGAAAGTCTCATATAGCTGCCAAGTAACACTATCAAGATCCCAATTTACGCAAAATAAAAGGGATCTTTGGACAAAGACTGATTCCCATAATAGATATCCCAGACTGTGGAAAATAGCTGAACTATATTTCCTGAATTTCCATCCATCTACTTGGTTAAATGGGGATTTAGCAGAATGGTTTGTCTCACAAAAAGTAGCAACAGATTAGACATCACAGCAAGAGGAGATATTCTACTCTCGCTGTCGTCTAGAGCCAGACACACGCAAGCTTGTTCATGGACATCAGGCACAAGGCTCGCATTAATATTTCGGCAAAAATATTATTAAGAATTTGGTATACCTTTTAATTCATCAAATGCTTTACAAGCGAAAGCTGACAATAATTAAACATAATCTTAAATGTTAATGTTGACATGGGTACTTACGATAAGTGATTTGATTTTGCTGCTCAATGCATTTTATGTCGAGGCTATGAAAGTTCAAAATGTGGTTTATAAGTGATATCAACATTAAAAATTTAGCCATCGTAACAAAAGATACTAACATGATCACTGAAAATCACAGATTTACGTCTGTTAAGTGTTGCGGATTGCTGAACTTACAGTGATAAAGGGTGAGGAGTCATGAGAAATGGGAAGGTTCAAAAGGAGGCCACGGTTGAATAAAGGTTGGAAATGCCCGTGCTAGAGGACATATTGGATATCACTAATACACCAATATTTTACATTTATATCTCGCTGTCATGTAGTTTCACACGGGCTAAAGTGCTACCAGAGTGCTTCGACCTACGTAGGAGAGAAAAGCCTCGAATCCTAAATGCGTAGGTTCCAGGTCAAATGCCTGAAGCACTATGCCAAGACCCCGTCACTTCCCCCTCATTCTGGTCAGAATTAAAAGCGTCGTCATCTGGAATGATGCACCACTTGTTTTGAGTAACCGTAATTTGTGTAACTCATTCACTGCAACTGAAAGAACTGTCATTCCCATTGTTTGTCATCAGTTTTTGAATTGTCGTTTGACTTTCCCGACTCCCCCAAATGCACCCACGTGGGTGCCGTTTGCAACTCTTGTCTACCCCTCCACTAAATGGTAATGCCGCTGTCGATGTAAGCCCTTCATTTAATCATCGTAACTCTTACACCCGACGTTTCATAATGCCTTCTTACTCCGTTTGAGTAGTCAGTGAGATTCCATGCGCCATGTGAAACCGTCATCTAAGCGACCACTGCCTAATGCAATACTTTCTTCGATTTTAAAATTCCTGACTTTTGTTTCTCACGAGCTACTTGTGGGGATTTGCACGCGGTCAGATTGATCTGTCTGACAGTGTCGTACTCGGAGAAGGAAATTTCCATTATTGTTTCAAACGAGAAA